GGCTTCACGGCGAGCAAATCTCATGGAGGGGAGCTGGCTCCACGTGTGAGTCCGACAATCCAGGAAGGAGACACCCGATGATGTCGTCATGGGGTCTATCATTCCTCCAATTACATAGATCCCACATCCCATGGAGACATAGGTAGCTCTGCGCGGAGATGGGAACGAAGGGATCGGGATCGGGATCAGCCTCCGATTCCCTTCTCCTCCTCCTTTTCTGAGGATGAACCATCCCATAGGCTTTGTGCCAAAAGTAGTTCCCAGGCATACATAGATGCACTCCTCCCTCAAACCCATTCGAGATCGGGTCTCGTACATCTCCGGCGAAGCCACTAGTGAGCGGATGCTCTTTGAGACCAGAGATAAAGCGCATAGGTCCGATCTCGACACGCGGGCCAAACTGTTAAGAACCACGTCATATGGCAAAGACATTATTGATGTTGGAGACTCAACCCTTCTCCTCTTCTTCTTCTTTCCGCGCACCTGTTCTACCGCCGCCGCCGATATCATCATCATCCGTGAATTTTTTTTCTTTTCTTTCGGTCTCACAAACTACTTTACTTTTCTTTTTTTTTTTGTCGTGACGTTGTAATAGTTTTACTTATAAGATTTTCTCTTGTACTTTAAAAAGGAAAAGTTATAAATATTTCCAAAAAAAAACAAAAACAAAATCTTAATTAAGGAATATTATTACTAAAATAAAAAAATGTACCCATAAAATCATGAAAAATATTTTGGATTACACCAAACAAATTTCTTTCATTCTTTCTCGCAGGTACTATGATAAATATCTTCCTACATATCCCTTATATATTAATTGAGAATCATTTAAAAAGTTGTAACCTTAAGTTTGTAATAATTAGAAATAACCCCAATCCTATGTGGCATACCTCTTTGGCTTTTATTTCAAATTCCAAGGATTCTAGAGCATATGATATAATGTATAGTTTAAAATTTATACTCTCTAGCAATATAATATTTCGTAGGTTATAGTTGGTCACATATATCAAATATTTATTATTTCGCATGCTTTCCTTAAATAAAACCTATGGAATTACCTAATGTGATTAAAACATATATATGACAATTAATGATTTTAAACAATAAAGATTTGATAACAATTTATATACTTTTTCTTATTTTGTTTATTTCTTTATTATTAAAATAAATTACACAATTACACTAATCATATAATAAAAATCTAGATTTTTTTTTTTGTGTATGTTGTATTTCGAATTTTTTAAAATGAGTATAAATTACTAAAACTGTTAAAAGTCTCACATAAAATTTTAGGATCAAGGTTTTAATTTTTTTCTATATTAAAATATAATGATTATAAGACCATATGAAGAAATAATTTTAATTTATATATACTTCATATCGTTTTAATTAAACTATACATCGTATGAAAATACATACTTATATTTTGATATTTGCATTGAACATATATTGAAAATTTAATATTTTAATTTTAAAATATGTAAATTTTTTTTAAAAATGATTATAAATTATTGAAACTACAAAACATCTCAAATTAAAATAAAATTCTTTAATGTAAAGTTTTGTTACACAAATATGCAAATAATCATAAAATCATATGAGTAAAAACCTCATTTAATAAATATTCATATTAAAAGTGTGCTATATTAATATGTTTATATCATTTAAATTTAATTATATATCATATACAATATATAAGATTGATTATTTTGATTTATTTACCCTAATTGCGAATAAACAAGAGTGATAGTTAAATTTATATGCATACGCCATTTTATTACATAATAGTAACTGATTTCGTAGTTATTTAATATATACATTTATTATTTTATTATTTTATAATATGCAGAAAAATATAAAATAAATATAAATATTTATTGTGCATAAAGTGCAGATCTTAACCTAAGTATGTATCTTTTTAATTATTTTAAATCTTAAGTATTTTCTAAATCACAGGTCAAAACAAACAAATGAAATGAGAACAAACTTCAAAATAAATAACCAAAAAAAGAAAAAAAAAGACAACAAAAGAAAAAAACTGAAGATAAATAGGATTGACACGTGAACGTAAACTTCTCATAACCATAATTAGTTTTAAAATTTTTAAATCATAATATAAAACTGAGTTAATGTTTAATTTGTTAATTTGTTAATTTTTTTATTTTTTAAAATTATTATGGTTATGTTAAATCATTACCATAACTAATTTTAAATTGTTTATTTGTATTTGAAAAACTTAAAATATTGTTTTTAAAAATAATTTAAAATTTAACTTAATTTTTTATAAAATTATTTTTTTAAATTGTAAAAAATATAATTTTCTCATATTATTACACAAATAAATAAATTATATTAAATTAGTTTTGAAACTTATATATTTTAACTGCAAATATTTTACCAACTGCTTCTTAAGAAAGCATTTGAGAACTTGCTAATACTCTACCAATCAAGCCCAGTGACAGTCCGTTTATTTTCCATCGCTCGAACACTGAAAAATGAAAAGATAGAAGAAGTCGGGTCCATTAAATTCTAAGCTTTGATTTAGAGTTCTAATTACAATTGTTTCTGATCCTACGTATAGATAATTATATAAAAACCAAAATTTTAAAATGTCAAATACATATAAAAACAATAATATGTAAATTTTAAATTTGTCAATACTAAAATTTTATATTTTAATTACATATATTCACCCTGCGCAAGGCGCAGGTCTTATCCTAGTTTTATAGTAATATTGATACCTAAATTAAACTTTATGGTAAATGGAATAAATACTACCGGAAAAAAGTATCAATAACACAATGTGATAACTTTGTTTTCTTAACCGCTATAGAAATTAATTTTTCAATTTTCATATATTATAATCCTTTTATATGTTAATTGAGAAGTTATTTTAGTAATTTCTGATGATATGTCACTCATATAAAAAATCTGAAAAAAAATCTTATAATTTAATTGGTCGAATCTTTTGTTTCTAAATAACACCGAGCATTAAAATTAGAATCTACTAAAATGCATTGCTAAACAAAAGGATAAACTTTGGGAACAAGAGTTAAACTTTGGTAATTACGATTTTCTCTTTTTTTTTTCTTCCTCAATCCATCTTTTTGACACCTCGTTTTTGTTTCGGTGGTGGTAATTGTGTTTTGATTCTTTTTCGTTTTTCGAGTTTCTTATTTCTGTTTTTTTTCTGTAAGATCCTTGCTATTGGATGATGATTGAACATGTCTTTTGCATCGAATTGTTGATTCACTAGAACATAAATATTATTGCTCTTTATTGTATGCTTCTATGAAGATGAGAATCACCAGAGGTTTGTGTTGATGGTGTATGATCAAATATGTTCTTAGATTCTTTTCATGTATGGACCATCACCAACTCTGTTTGATGGCGTTTCTTAGCGATTAAACTATGTTTTGATAGTTTTTGAGCCAAAAGCTGCAAACACTATGGTCTAAAATTTGGTTACCATTTTCTTGTTGATTTTGATTGCTTCTCTTTTTGATGGTATACAGATGACAATAAAGCCATCTTGTATTATATTCGGTTGTAATTACATTTACCGTGTATTTTAGTCTGAACTTAAATAAATATTACTTTGAGACTGATCGTATTATCATGTATTGAGAAACGTTTTAATANTATACAGATGACAATAAAGCCATCTTGTATTATATTCGGTTGTAATTACATTTACCGTGTATTTTAGTCTGAACTTAAATAAATATTACTTTGAGACTGATCGTATTATCATGTATTGAGAAACGTTTTAATAAATACTAAAATTTGACTCGTGCGTATGTACGGATGTAGTTTTTTAAAAATAAATATTCTTATTTTTATATCATTATTATATATCATATATATGTCATCATCTAATTAAATAGTATTTTATACATATTATCATATAATTAATAGTATTTTATACGTACCATCATACAAATTAATGTTGAATTTGCGGATCGATCCGCCCCGCTGCGTATTGAATCACTTTTTGATTCAAAATTTTGATCCACTTGATCCGCAAGTAGAAAAATTATACTTGCACCCACCTCGTTTAGATTTGTGGATAACCCACAACATCATCGTGTAACATTAAAAATAATTATTTTATTTTTTGAAACTAAATAATATATTTAAAATAAAATAATTTAAAATAATCTTTTAAAAAAAAAACATTTTGCGAGCTGGCGGATATCTGCAGTTTAAATTTGACCGATCCGCACCCTCTCCGCATAAAATATACCAAATTCGCACATGCCTCACATATTTTTCAAATATGTTGATCCCCACCCGCCCTGTAGTGGGTCAAACAAGATGAGACCCACATGTAAAGAGTAATTTCATAAGTTTAATATAAATAATCACATATATTATAATTTTAAAAACTTAATGTGAAATATAAAACCACAATTTAAATTGGTATTTGAAATTAGGTTTTGTATTGTATTTTTCTTATATATATATATTGATTTTTTTATAAAAGCTATTGGAAAATATTTTAGTGAAAATCATTTTTGAATATATGGATATTTTAGAATCAATTTTTGATATGGATTAATTTTAAATCATTTTTTGATTTGAAATATGTATATAAAGTTTAAATTGTGTATTATGATTATTTTAAACAAAAGATGTTTTTAGGTAATTCGATTGGCCTATTTTCATATATTGTAAAGATGACCCAAATAGATAATTTTTCATAGGAATTTTGTTTCTTAATAATTAAGCCCATTATTATTATTTTAATATACTACAATCTATGTTGTCAAACAACAATATACTCTTTTTATTAAGGAGTTTTAATGAGTTTAACGAAAAAAACATTAAACTAACTTTATTTAACGAGTTAAACTCTCGCCGTTCATAATTACCATTATTACCGGTAAATCTTTAGTTTAGGGGTTTTACCA